TTTTCCTTTCTCTTAAAACGCATACAAAAATTTTGATTTGCAACAGATCGTTTTTTTTTTTTTTTTTTTTTAATATTCTGATGCAACTCTCAGATCACAAGTGTGATTGACTGCGTGTAGTTTGATGAAAATACTGTGTGAATCACCCAATTTTAGGAAATACGGACGCGAAGTTAGACTGCACGATGCTGTTCCGAGATACTACGTTATGATAATGCTGGTGATTATTCATGTTGTGAAGGATGTTGAATCGCATTCATGTTTTCTCTGATAACAGGTTCCGAAACAAGATGACGCAGGCCGGCTTCACCATCTCGGGTTCCGCTCACCCGATCTGTCCGGTGATGCTCGGTGATGCACGGCTTGCCTCTCTCATGGCAGATGATATGTTGAAGCTCGGTGAGGCATAAGTCACGTTTGACCCTGCATTGTTCTTTTCCTCTGCATCAAAACAAAAGTAAATGTTGTCCATTATTTGGCGATGACCTTTTAAAATCGGTTAATTTGACTCTCCTCGACAGGAGTGTACGTGATTGGATTTTCCTTCCCCGTCGTACCGAAAGGCAAAGCCAGAATCCGTGTTCAGATTTCAGCCGCGCACACAGATGAAGACATCGACCACTGTGTCGACGCCTTCATTCAGACGGGCAGAAAGCATGGAGTTATTTCCTGAAAGAAATGACTACAGTATTCGGAGAACCAACCAAACAGGTGCTCCTTCAGATGTGGTTGCCTGTTACCTATGGCCTATGCGAATAATGGCGATGATTTCTCTCTGGCAACTTTGTGTCCTGTTCAGGCAGGGTTTGGCTGCCTGAGAGTGAAATAAAGTGAAAGAACGCTTGCCATTGAATCTTTTGACTTTGGGTTTCTTTACTGTGGTGTTTTAATAATGCAAGACTAATTAAAACTTCTAAAATTAGCCAATCTGAGTTTGATGTTTGATCAACAATGTAAAATTTGGAAAGAAAAAAAGTTAATAAAAAAACAAACAAAAAACTGTTGTTTCTGAACACATGTTAATAGTGGCGTCAGAACGTTCCACTTGAAATCTTGGGGTTGGTCGGGGAGTGTGAAAAGTTGCTGAATTGGGCCACAGAGTGCGAGATTGGATTTTTGTTGCTGTGAGCCTGCTTATTTCTACGAGATAGACTGACGTCGTTATTGTCCAATCGCTGACATGTTTTTTTATTGTGAGTGTTGTAATCCACCATTGATGCGGGCGCATTTTGACCTGGGCGGGACTTCCGGTTGCTGGTATAACCTTGTGAGGCCTCCCCATGCGGTTTTGATTCACTGCTCTAGTCGCGTCGATTACTCTGCAGGTAGGAGTTTTACAGTAGTTGACACGAATGAATGAAAGTTATGAAACCTTGGCGCCGCTTTCCCACTTTAGTCCCTTTGTGATTATTCTGTAAATGAACACGCACCCAAAACTGAATGGATCGACTCTTTTCTGCTTTGTATTGTGCTAGTCTAGTGATCCCTTTAGCATATTGTAGCCTAGCATTATTGAGGCTCGCCGCCGTAGACGACGCAAAGCGTGGCCTCACCATTTGCCGCTTGGCTTTGTCAGAAGTCACCCTGCAAACTAGCTACAAACATACTCACAGTCCTGTGTGATTTAACAAATTCGCTTGCCACGTCGTCGATCGTTGTATGCCGCACAACGCCGACTGGTGGGCTCGGCAACCGGCGATTTTTAAAATCCGGACCAAGAGAGTTGCGGATGCGTTCCTCAGAATGGTGTTTATATATTGACCCATAATTCCATCGCCTGTGTTTCAAATCACCCAGAATTTGGATCACCGATTAGGTACATGCGCATATCGCACCTGACGACTTATTTCTCCTCAATCGGGTCCTCGCTGTTCAGACAAGTTGACGCGCTCCACACTTTGATATTATCAGCATGTGCTTTCTCCTCTCTCATGTCAGATTATCACCCACAGGTTGACTTGAATTAATTTCTATTCGCACGACTCCACAATACACCTTGCTTAGACCAGTTCTTATATTCATGTCATTGTTTCAGGTCGACAAGATGTCTGAGAACGATGTCGACAATGAGCTGCTCGACTACGAAGATGATGATGAACCTCAAGGAGCACCCGAGGGTGGAGCCCCCACCGGCAAGAAGGAGGTGAAGGGATCCTATGTTTCAATCCACAGTTCCGGCTTCAGAGACTTCTTGCTCAAACCTGAGTTACTTCGTGCCATCATTGACTGTGGCTTTGAACATCCATCTGAAGGTGATGCTGCTTTGAAGTTCCGAGGCCGATAGGCTGTCGGAATTGTGTTGTTTCTTTTCATAGAAAGCATAGATCTAAATGTTTTAGTCTGTCTCGTATAGTCCAGCACGAATGCATCCCACAAGCCATCCTGGGCATGGACATCCTTTGCCAAGCCAAATCGGGTATGGGCAAGACAGCTGTGTTTGTTTTGGCCACTCTTCAACAGCTTGAACCAGTCGATGGACAGGTTAGTCTGTGGGCCGGGTGAGATTTTATTCAGGTCTTATGGACTAGCCTTGTTGTGCACCTTCTTGCCCCTTGGCATCAGTTGATCAAATCACACCCCTTCTCTGTGTTCTTCTAGGTAGCAGTATTAGTCATGTGCCACACACGAGAGCTGGCCTTCCAGATCAGCAAAGAATACGAGCGCTTCTCCAAGTACATGCCCGCGGTCAAGTCGGTGGTGTTCTTCGGCGGGCTGCCCATCAAGAACGACGAGGACGTCCTGAGAAAGAACTGCCCCCACATCGTGGTTGGAACGCCAGGCCGCATCCTGGCTCTCGTCCGCAACAAAACGCTCAGCCTGAAGAACGTCAAGCATTTTGTCCTGGATGAGTGTGACAAAATGTTGGAGCACCTTGGTATGTTCTATTGAAATCTTGGTCGGGATTTACACCTGCGGTTAATTTGCCTCGACTGTCCCCTCAGACATGCGGTGTGACGTCCAGGACATCTTCAGAATCACGCCCCACGAGAAACAGGTCATGATGTTTAGTGCCACGCTGAGCAAGGAGATCCGACCCGTCTGTCGCAAATTCATGCAGGACGTAAGGGAACGCGAAATGGCTCGGCCGCGCGGCTTTTTGCACCTCGTGCTGCGTTTGACCACTTGCGCACATAACAAGAGCCAATTTGTCGGTTGCGCAGCCCATGGAGGTGTTTGTCGATGACGAGACCAAACTGACGCTGCACGGCCTGCAGCAGTACTACTGCAAGTTGAAGGACAGTGAGAAGAACCGCAAGCTCTTTGACTTGCTCGATGTCTTGGAGTTTAACCAGGTGAGAGCAGTATTATTATTCAAACAGCAGCTTCTCCGAGGGCGACTATTTGATTGTTTTGAGTTCAAAACTGAATAGGAGGTTACTTCACCTCAATTAAGAATTTAAGTTTTAGGTGTCTCTGGTGGCAGTGGTCACACGAGGGTTGATGTTGTTATTGACTGGCGAGCCTGGCAAATTGTTGCATACCCTGTCCTGCCTCTAGGTGGTGATCTTTGTCAAGAAAATCCAGCGCTGTATCGCCTTGTCGCAGCTTCTGGTGGAGCAGAATTTCCCTGCCATCGCCATCCACAAGGGGATGGCCCAGGAGGAGAGGTGAGGCGATCCCGCGTGTTCGTTCATAAATTGTTCTCTCTCGACCTCCCAAGTATGTCAATGCTGTGTGATTTAGTGGCACCCGTCAGCTCGACACATAATGACTTTCAAAGAGGCAAGCGCTCCGGTAATGCCGCTGGCAGCTGGACTGACGATGTTTTGCTCCCCTCCGCAGACTGTCGCGCTATCAGCAATTCAAAGACTTCCAAAGACGCATTTTGGTGGCTACCAACCTCTTCGGCCGAGGGATGGACATCGAGCGAGTCAATATAGTTTTCAACTATGACATGCCAGAAGATTCAGACACTTACTTACACAGGGTAAGAATGCAAAAGCTTTCCATTTGTCATAAGAAAACCTTTATTAGTCTCGCAATGGAGAAATTCCCAAGTCACAGCAGCAAAGTTATGAAAGGAAGAAGTAGAAGAACAAAATATAGGAGCTGCTGAAAAGGCAGCCACTCTCGCGGCACCATCTTGAAGTCAACATTTTAAAATAACACAACAAGACACAGACAGTCGTGCAATCTTAATCACATTTCCTGCATACACTTTGTTGTTTGAAGCAGTTATCGATGAAAGAGGAGAGGATCAAAGTGTCCTTTCACAACAACAAAGGACACCAACACAACTGCTCAGGAAACTGCAGTAATATTAGTTGTTTTTCAGTAGGGATAAAGAATGTACGCCTTTAAGTTTGTCTATCTACCCGCATTGCTGCACTCTTTTGTGCGCAAAAAAAGCCATCGCCTTAAAGCAGTCGGGTGTCCTAACCCGCTCCTGGAGGCCTCTGTCCTGCTTGCTTTCGTATGTCTCCCTTCCACAACGCACCCGATTCAAATGATTGGGGTCGTTAACAGGCTTCTTGAGAGCTTATTGATGAGCTGATGATTTGAATCATGTGTGTTGGAGTCGAGAGAAGGGACCCCTCACGACAAAGTTGCGAGTGACCAAAATGATCTCCACCCCATGTAGAACAATGTCAATAGGGTTGACTTTTCGTTCCGCTCGGTGCTTGTTGGACACGCGGCCCCCCCTGCAGTTCTTGCTTTTCCCCAGGTCGCCCGTGCCGGTCGGTTTGGCACCAAAGGCCTGGCTATAACCTTTGTGTCGGACGAGAGCGACGCCAAGACTCTGAACGACGTCCAGGACCGTTTTGAGGTCAACGTGGCCGAGCTGCCCGACGAAATCGACATCTCCTCTTACAGTAAGTCCCGGCATTTTCTAATGGCGGCTGAAAGAAGGCTGAGCCCTGCGGTCTGACCCACTGGAATGATTTGTAGACGTAGATGCATTCCATTCACTTGGACTGTAAATCACCTGTAATTATCCTTCGCGCAACTGCTCGGTGAGCCCCCGGGTCTGGTGTCAAGATCGGCCCACAGATAATCGGTGTTATTTTGTCGTTTTGGCAACTTGGCAAAAACAGTTGGTGCTGCTGCTATGCAACTACACAGCTCATTAGATGGAAATGGCTTTTACGTCTTTCACCTGTTGGAGTTGGCATTTTCAGCTGTTGCCCCTTGGGAGTTTTTACATGCTTCAACCCATTTATTTTTTTTCTCCCCACTTTAGTTGAGCAGTCCAGATGAACGCCCGAGCCTTGCAGACATCGCCTCGCCGCGGATCTCGTCTTCTCCTTGGCCTTCGATGTACTTAGCTGTTTCTTTGAAAGTTCCGCTCATTGCCTCTCGTTAAACTTTATTGTCAGTTTTGAGGACTTAGTGTATGATTGGTTTTATTTGTATTTTTATGAGTTGTTTTTTTTTTTCCCTTCATTGAAATTAAACTTTTTATAAAAATAATCAGACTGGTTCACGTTTGTCTTTTGTCATTTTTAATTTCCTTCAGATTAATCCTGACAGTGTTGTAGGGAAACAGGATCTTTTACTCTGATGTGCCAAACTTTGAGAACCCTTTACAGCGGAAAGCCACCCCCCCCCACCCCCAATCCCCTACCAAAGCACCCCTTAATAATACTAATGCTATTTAAACCATCTGTGTTCCTGACTGATCTTAGTTGCTTATGTTTGAAGGGGAAGACGTTGAAATGCCACAATGACAAATTCATTTCTAAGGGGAAAAATTGATATGTATCATTGGATTTTTTTTTTTTTGTTGCTACAGAGAGCAATATACAAATAGTAAAATACTGATATACGTTTTTTGTTTTAGTAAATATTGTGTGTGTGTATGTATATGTGTGTGTGTGTGTGTGTGTGTGTATATATATATATATATATATA